GCTAGACTCATCCAGGGATCGTTGGAGCAGGCCCAATGTCTGCAAGTGCTTTGGCGTGGACACGGACAGCCCAATGGCATCGCCCACAGCCTGATGGAAGGCCGGATTGGCGCCGTTCCGGAAGATCTTGGGCAGATGGCGGTACTGAAGGAAGTACTGAATGTGGGCCATCTCGTGGTGCACGCTGATCAGACTACGCTGGTTGATGTCGGTGCAGATTTTGACACGGAAATCGTGACGATTGCAGAAATCCCAGGCCGAGGGTTCACAGAGCACTCTTCTGTCCAGCGGCTGCTCCAGCACAGAGTTCTGATAGAACTCCGGACCAACGGCGGACATGTTGATGGAGGTGAAGAACTCCTCGGCCAGCTGGAACATCAGCTGCGGGGTGTATCCCTGCTCCACCATGCGGGGTGTGACATCAATTAGCTTGCGTCCTGGATACGGTATGAGTATGTCGAGGACATTCGACCACGACTGCCCAAACATGTTGCCCAGAATGTGAGACGGAATGGGCGCTATGCGGTTAATGCGATCCGGTCCATAGTAATCCCTGAGCTTCCTTCGCACATACGCGTGCAGAGCCTCATACAGCGGTCGGATTTGCTCCCACACAATGTCCATGTCCTGGCGAAAGTTCCCCGACTCGTAGGCCAGATACCAGTACTCGCCACCATTGGTTACATCTACAAAGGAAGATCTATAAGTGGGAGACTAGGAGAGTGTAAATTTCAAGCTCACTATTCACATAGGCCACCTCCTGCATTACGTCAATGAGCTGCTCGTAGTCGTCGCGCATGCCGCGTCCTGCTTTTCGGTGATACTCCACCCACGTGTGCTGTAGCTCATCCCAGTCCCTGCTCTTGGCCATGATGTCCTTGAGGTGCGGTATATAGTGCAGATCGCACTGAAACGGCTGCTGATAGGCGCAAACACTGGCGCTGTTGTACAGAAAGAGCATTTCATTCAACAGCCGATTGTACTATGGAAACAAGAGCTTAAAAAAATGTCAATCGTTGGATAAATGCGTGCAGATCTCACCCTATCCAAAACATCCAAGGGTAGAGCGTTGGGCCCAACTTCAGACTGCAGCATCAATTGCCTGTAGAGGCGACGATCAAAGATGAGGTCCTTGTTGATGCGCTTCGACTGCTCTGCCGTGATACGCTGGAATTCCACATAGCGTTGTTGAGCATTGAGCTGGTTAATTTGGAGAATGAATTAAGGATTAGACATCACTTGAAAGAAGACTCTCTTCATAAAAATAATGCATAAGGGCCCCTCCAGCACCGCTTAGTAAATTCTCGTAAAACTGTTTACGCTTGCAAAAAACTCTCAGACTACGAGTACAACTCTTTGACATTGGCATGTCTGCCTGGGAATCTGACAAGGCAAGGCGACCTTCAGAACGCGACTTTTCTGTCTTTGCTGTGTGTGTGTATCTTTGGCATGTAAAAAAAACTGCGAGCCACATGGGAAAAAGGTGCACCACCACCACAACAACCATGAAGATCGCGTGCCATTCGACTATTATTACGGGTAAGAGTACGAGATATGTTTTTGCTTTTCACTCACCGCTTCCGTTTGTGTAAAATCGTTTACGTTTGTCTCGAAATTCCACTGGGCCGCCACGTTTGCCGTGCACTCCAGGGAGCCCTTCTGATCGGTCTCCACCAAGAGGTTGCGCAGCTTCTCGAGCTCCTGCTGGTAGCGACGATCCTGCTGGTAGCGCTGACGCTCCTGGTAACCCTGATTGAGGTTGAAGCGATCCTGATTGGACAGGAATGGGTTCTCGAAACGATTGCGATTGTTCACGAACTCCACATTGGGATTGTTATGATAGTTGTACTGATCATTGGAGTTGGGGTTTGGGTTAAAGTTTCTATTTCCTGGCGAGGAGTAGGGAGCGTCCGCGTATCGGCCATCGTTGCCAGCGCTTCGATCGGTGGTGCTGGATATCGGGCCGTAGTTGTGATTGGCATACTGATTAGCATCCCCACTGAAGGGTGAGTCAGCGCGGTCGCTGAAGTTCACACCGGGCGTGGGGTAGGCATAGCCGCCAATCCTCATGCGCTCGTCATAGGTCTGGCCGTACTGCAAGCGAGAGATCACCGGGTTAATGGGCATACCAATGAGCTAAACCAATACACAAAAACACACACCCTAAAGTCATCAGATCCATCATCCGAGCTGCCCGCGCTGCCTCCGCCGCCGCCGCCGCCGCCTTCGTCTGCATAGGGCGGCCCATAGCGTTGGTCGCGATTTCGATCTGCCCTCAGCTGGGCGGGCGTTGTGGCCACATTTGGGGTGTAGCCATTGTAGAAGATCTCCGGCTGAGGTGTAGGCAGATTGAGTTGTGGACTGGCCCAGGCTAGGCCAAGGCAAAGCCAGAAACAAAGACAAACGCCGTACATTATGCTTATCCTAAGATCTATATTTAACACTGCCAAGGTCGGCCTCTGACAGCTCACTTATTAAATCTCTTTCACAAACAATTAACTACTTTAATTGCAACTCCCAAGACCACGCCTGTGGGAGCTCAGAGAACTTCACTGATCTGTGCGACACACACAATAAATAACTTTCACTCTTGAAGAAGCTTTTATGAGAATTCTTCTCTCCCTTTCACTGAGCACTAGATCGGGAATCGTCCGATTTATCCGGGTATCTCTTTTTTTTTTACCGTACTCGTACCACCCTCGTAACGTCAGGGAACGCGTCTAAAACTCTACTGAATAGACACGGTAAGAATATTATTCGAAATTACTTTGCTACTTTTTTTTTCCAACTCGAAAATGAATTCAAATTTGAGCGCAGTCCCAGCTGCAGTTAGCGTCGCTGCCGGCGCTGTCGTCAGATGTTTCTATATGTATATATTTTCGTGTGAGATAATCGCAATTAGCACTGGGACAGCACCCCCAACCACTACACGTACCATCAAATCATCCATAAGCTTGGGAACAACAATGAGGCACCTGTATGCGTGCCTGTGTGTGTTTTTTGCATGCATGTTGGAGGGAGGGTGAGGGCACTTATCAGTCGAAAAGCGAAGCTTAACCGCATAATACTAGTACTCATGAGAGAGACTGTGAGAAAGTACATACAAATTGAGTGGGTTGCCGCTGCTGTTGCTGTTGCTGCTGGCGACAAGTGCACAAAGTCACTCAACGTGAGTCGCTGGGTTATCTGTGCTAAATAAGCTAACTGCAGCTGAGACCCACATTGAGCAACGCTGGACAACATGAGTAAGTCACCCCCATCAAAGTTAGCACTAATCTTCCCCTGCATGCAAATCAGTGACCCGAAGAGCGAGGCAAATTTTGTTGCCTCAACTGTTGGCTGGTGGCTGGTGGCTGGTGCTGATGTTGCGCATGCGTTACACAAGGCAGCGCCACCCGCGTTTTTGGAATTTTGTGATTGTCGCTCTTGACCCAGCGATAGGTGGAAAAAGTGTAGCATGTATTTTTGTATGCTAGAGCTGATGCGCTTGGCGATTACCAAGACATCCATTAAACTCCAAATAATAAGTCCCTTTTTGTATTTTATGGCTAAAGTCGGTCCAGATTCTATTTTAAAGCTTACAGAATTAAATTACAGAGCTATTCAAATGTAATTGAATTATTATTATTATTCTGACTTATATATGCATAAAGTTTGCTTGGGAATGCGGAATATTTTCAGTCACTCTTGACCCAGCGATTTGTAAACAAACTTCTGACTCACAGAAGATGCACAAAGGCAGCCCAGGAAACATGTAGATGAGATACGAGGAGAGAGCCATAGAGTCCATAGAGGTGATAACTGGGGCTTCATGACTGGCCAGGTAATGAGTTGGCACGCTGATTGATTGCTATCCCAGTGGCATACAGAGTGGAGACACATATGATTCAGCCTGTAATTAGATTGGGATCTGCAAAGTCTATCTGTCGCGGATATGAGCTCATAAATATTAGCCAGATTTATGATGTGGTTGGCTGCTCAGAATTATATATTCTTACCTGGAACGTAGTCACTTTTTTGGTGGAAAAAAGCTAATTAAGAGTCAAGGTCAGGCATGTTTCATCTGCCAACTCCGCGTCTATGCCAGATCTTACAAAAATACTGGACCAGTCGGAACCGTGGGAAAATAGTAAAGCTGATTGGCTGTCAACTGTCTATAAATAATGAATTTACACGAATGAATAATTAGTGTAACTCAATACGCCCGGCAATTGGAAGAGCGCTTAGAATGACGCACTCCAAGCTCGTACCTGCAGTTGAATCTTTTATTTTTATTTCTTAACTATAGTTATTTGCTCGGCTCTAATGAGTTGCTGTCGAGCGAAGAGCCTCCGACAGTCATCATAATCAAGTGCATTTTAATTATAGTTCCACGCCCGTGTTTCGCCTTTGTTTTAGATTCATTCCGGTATCTCTCCTAGACAATGCTGTGCTCTATGTGCGAATATTTACCGAGAAATTCCAGATTTTGCGATCGGATTCTTCATTTGAATTGGCGGCTTTTCATAGCCATCGCATCTGACTTGGAAATTGGGAAAATCATAGCCTTCCCTCTCCCGTTTCCTACTGAACTTCGCCCTCTCGACACTCGATCCGGGACTGCCAGTAGTTTTCAGCCACTCCTTCATCACGTCGATCTCGTGGCGCCGCCCCTCCATGTAGCCCCTGACGGTGCCTTTTGCCGTGTTCATGCACCAGCCCCGAAGTCCCAGGGTCTTGGCCTTCATCATGAAAATAAACACCTTGGACCCTGCCATATACCTCGAACTGACACGAGAAGACGCCGTCGGTAAGCATTGGGTTTTGCTATTGGGCTGCCACGGCAAGGCATTTAATTTGGAATTTTTGTTTTCCCTGGAACTCCCCTTGGAAATTTCATTTGGATTTTGAGTATAAATGTGATTCTAAAAAGAAAGCAAGGCAAGTTCTGACTTCTAATAAAACTTTTTATGATTCCTTCTCCTAGATTTTGAACTTAAGATTAGATTCGGTTTCTGCAGAGCTGATCCAATTTGAATTAAAATTAGTTATTCGATTGATTAGATAGTTCGAGGACTCACATTCACCTTTGTTCATATTCAGCCAATCTTCTTCCAACATTCGTTTTTCTTACAATTTGATATTTGAAAATCTTGTGACATGCCCTTATCTACATTTACATGATTTGCCATGAATTGTACTATACAATAATGGGCATACTTTCAGGCGGAGATGGAAGTTCCCGTTTACCAGGTGCACAAAATATTAAGACCAACCATCATATGCCCAACCCACATCCAGACCTTTGAGCTGATTCTGCTGCACCAACCAATCGTGTAGCGGCTTGAAGTAGGTCAACAACCCATCAATATTGACTTCAGGCTCACCAGCCATCTCCTGTAGCACACCGCTGTAGGGCACGGATGAGCCCAATGAAATGGCTCGCTGCAGACTGGCACCGATCTGGCGCTGGTCAGAGAGATCGCAGAGATCCAAAGCCTTCCTCGGGTTATCCTTTTCAAACTGCTGCGTCTTTGTGCAGTAATGTTTGAGCAGCTGGAACTGCAAAACGATGCTCAAGATATTGCTGAAATGGAAGAATGTTTAAGATTAGATCAGCTAGATTGTCCACATGGGGATTCAACCTGAAATACTGATCATCCACTTCCATGAGCATCTTGGCAGGGACATCAAATTGTTCGTTGGTCCGCTTTCGAGGGGCTGCCGCTCCCGTATAGTGTTCCGTCAGTCGCCAGTAGGCCTCATTGTCGTCCGCTCTGATGTGTCCACTGAGCACCTCCACGCGGTAGCGATCGAGGACATAGAAGACGGGAAGCAGAAAGACCACGCGCAGGCCCTGCACATACAAACGGTTGAGTCGAGCGGGCAGCTCGAGCCACTTACCCTCCTGCAGCAGGCCCAACTTCTGGAGGTAGCGAGGAGAGCTGGCTGCCAAGGAGAAGCACTTGCCAATGGCATCGCTGAAGTTGGGAAAAGGTTCATCCCGTAACAGGGTTGGCTGGCCGGAGGCTGCTCGATAATAGTAAAGATCACTCTGAGCCTCAAACATATTGAAGAAACGCTCCTCGTCATTCAAAGGACAGTAGGTTAAGTTGGTTCTGGGCAGTGTGTAATACCGCCAGACCTTGTGCCAGCAACGATCGTCATCGTCTGCAGCCACGGACTGAGCATTTGTCCAAAGGTCGCTGGAACATATCAGAGAGCTTAGAGGAATATTTTGTTACAGCATAATCTGTGGTAGTGGCATTACCTTTCCAGCAGTGGCAGACCAAGACCCCTAAAGTACTCAGCCACATTCCAGAACACTCGCTGAGTGGTGCTTAAGCCGCGACGATGCAGATCCTGGGTAATATTTGCCAGCCCCGTTTCGGGTGAGGGTAAGTCCACATACCACTCGGCACGCACCCGTCTAAAGGCGTTTCCTATGAAAACCTCAGCCAGATGCTGTGGATAGGGTTTGCCCCGGGGCACCAGCCGTTCTCCGTGCATCTTTCTCAAGGAACCCCTGACATGAGCGTGAAACTGAAGGAATAACGGCCTCAGCCCAGCCATCAGTCTATCCAGCAATGCCAAGCTCTGCGTTCCACTCTTCTCCAGCGATCGGAACCAATAATCCTCGGCACGAGGATATCCATTGACCTGGGCGGTCTTCTTATACAGCTCCATAAAGGCCACAAACGGACCCCGGGTGGCCAATCCCGTGCGCTGGCGCCACTCAAACCAGTAATACTCGATCTCATCCAGGTCACGGCTCTGCTGAACAATTGCCTGAACCTCTGGTATCAGCCGTAGAGTGCAATTCCCTGGCTGCTTATAAGCGCAAAGTTTGACATTGCGGTAGCTGTCGCCCATGCTGGAGGCCATCGCATAGACTTGGCTTAGCTCCATGGCATTCAAGGCCTCGTAGCCCAGCTGTGGCATCCTTGCCAGTTGCCTCTTCTGGCTGGCATCTCCCAGCTGCAAGCGCTTGAACTTTGCCGCCCGGCGTGTCAAGGTTTTCACGTAGTTCAACAGTTTTTCGTCGGCTATTTCTAACTCGAGGAGCGCCACAACATCGTTGGGTCCGCGCAACTCGCTCTGCAACTGTGCCAAGACCGACTGATCATAGATGGCGGCTAGTTGCTGATTGGCAGCGGCCAGGAAGTCAGCCAAAGTAGGATCAGGAGAGGCAACAGCCTGGACAAAGCCACAAATGGCCTAAATGGAAGAGGTTCAAGCATTTTGAGGCAGAAATTTCAGCGCTTGAACTCACCCAAACCAGCAGCAACTTCCACATAACTCACACACTTTCTACTCTTACAAATTCACTTTCGCAACTCATTTAAATTCCCGTCTCGTATCCGAATCTTTTGCACACCTTTCCAGACGTTCTGCGCAGGCGAAGCGCTCTATAGAAACTGACGAACGGAGGCCAACGACAGAAGCCATGGCCAGAAGCTAAAACAGCTGCTTGCCTGAGCACCCAGTGGCCAATTTGTAATTGTAATCAAGTGGAGCATACTCTCAAAGCGGGTATGACACTCTCTGGGCTAGTTAGAGGAAATTGCAATTACATTTTAGGCAAATATCATGCCCAACCCAAGCGATATATACACCTTAAATATTTGTACAACTCTCAAGAACTCGTTTGTGTAATTAATTTCAAACTGGTCAAGCAATTAGAAACTTTATTGAGCAATGAACTGTGTGAGAACAAATTAAGAGGCCACACATTCTGAAATTCAAGAAAATTAATTAGTTCGGAACTGCTGGAACCTGTAATATATAACTTACTATCTGAAGCAGTCCAGCCAATGTGCACACTGTTCTTGATATTCTCAGCCTCCAGCCAGACGCGTAGAGGCTCAAAGTATTCGGCAATGGCCTTGCCAGTCATGACGCGCTCCCCGTTAAAGGCCTCCAGTGCATCGGGCCAGGGTTTCGAGGCACCCAGAGAGAGCATGTTGCTGTGGAGTGAACCAAAGATTGTCACAATGGAAAACAAACTTATTTTGGATGCAGAAACTCACTGGAAGGCTGCGCCTGCTGCTGCACTGCCGTAGATGTCACAGTTGTCCAGTGGCAACTCCGGATTGTTGGCATCGTATTGACCAGCCTTGATGCAGGCGGACTTGTAGAACTGGAACTGAATGATGAAGGAGACCAAGTACCTCAGATATTCGACATCCGCAGAGACGTGATATTTGGCCGGAGGATCAAAGTCCTTCTCGCTGCGCACCACTGGAGGCTCGATGCCGGAGTACTGTTCACGCAGCTTCCAGAACTCACAGTTCCAGTTGGCCTTCTCGACCTCACCGCGGAACAGCGCCCAACGATACTTGTCCATGGTGAAGGCGAACGGCAGGAACACGATCTTATCCAGAGCGGTGAGGAAGAGCTGGTTTATGCGGGCCTCATCGTCGCGCACATAATTCGACAGCAGTCCGATCTTCTCCAGATGCTTGGGCGTCGACACGGACAGGGAGAGCACATCCCCAACGGCTTCATGGAAGCCAGGATTAGCCCCGGTGCGATAGATGAAGGGCAGATGTTGATACTGCAGGAAATACTGAATGTGTCCCAGCTCATGGTGGACGGTGAAGAGCTGGTCCTGGGTGACGCGGGTGCACTGCTTGATGCGAACATCATCCTGGAGGTAAAAGTCCCACGCACTGGCATGGCAGATCAAGTCGCGACCATCCGTTGGCTTCTCAATAATCGACTTGTCCCAGAAATCCCTATGGGGGGAAAGGATTGTCATTGATTTGGATCGAAAATCATGGAAAATCTTCAACTTACTGCGGCAGCTTGGTGAGGTTCATGGAGGTGAAAAAGTCATCGCCCATTTGGAACATTTTGAGGGCGGTGAACCCTTGCTTCTCCATCTCTTCGCTGACATCGACCAGTGGCTTCTCGGGGAAGGGAGACACAATGTCGGCAATCTCGGACCATTGCTGTGCCCACATGTTACCCAGCAGATGCATGGGAATGGGTCCGTTCTCAGAGACCACCTCGTTGCCATAATACTTCCTCAGGCGATAGCGCACGTAGCCATGGATCTGCTCATAGAGCGGACGGATCTCGGCGAATATGTCATCCAGTTGCTTTTCGAAGGTGGCGTCCTCGTACTCGTCCAGCCAGAGCTCGGCACCAGAGGTGAAGTCTGAGGGGGAAAGGGAACAATTGTGAAAGGGATTCCCGAAACTCATTTCACTCACTATTCAGTTTTGCAGCCTTGGTGTTCAGCTCCACGTAGCGCTCGAAATTGGGTCGCACGGCCGTGCCTGCCTTGTCGTAGAACTCGCGCCAATAGTACTTGAGCTCCTCGTGATCGCGGCTCTTGCTTATGATCTCCTCTATATCTGGATCCAGGGCCAGATCACACTTCGTCTTGTCCTTGTAGTCGCACACCTTTACCTTGGCAAAGTTTGACTCCATGGCGGAAATCGTTTGCAGGAAATCGGCGTACTCCGCCTCGGGCAGGGCGGCATATCCCAGCTTGGACAGCGACTTGAACTGTCTCTTGATATCCTCCGATTGGTAGCTGCGCCACTGGAACTTCTGTATGTCGCTGGACACCTCCTTCATGAATTTTGCCAACTCCGCAGAGATTTCATTTTTTTTCTTTTCGTTCTCATCGGTGAGGTCGGAGGCATAGGCCCAGGCGGCCTCTGTCTCCACATTGGTGCGCTTGGCCAGCTCCTTGTTTAAATTCTCCAAATACTCCTTGGCCTGTATCTCTTCCTTCACCAGGGCTTGGGTGAGCTAACAAGATATCATGAACTTAAAGAATAATTCCATATGTTGTGATTTTCAAACTCACCGCCAACGTAGCCAGTAGGGCCACCAGAAACACTTTCATTTTGTCCTACAAAGCGCTCGCCTATACAAATTAAGTCAACATTTTGTTATTAGCTTAGATTATAATCGATTCCAGAGGTGACGTACGATCACAGAACCCAGCTGTACGAATCGTCAGAGTGTCTGAGCGGCAATGTCTTTCCCCGTAATTAATTAAAGTGCCTCTGGGGTCAACATGTGTACATGTTTGTGTACTCTCTCTACTGTGTATATAATGTACAATTCCTGAGTGGAACAGATTCTCTACGCTACTTCAAATGAGCAATTCGCTTGGCAAATATCACCGCGATAGCAAATCGCAATTGATAGTAGATTAGTTTCAGTTACAAAATCAATTTACGCCCGACAAAAGAAATGAAATTAGTGTGAAATTATGAAAGCAATTGGCGGTGAAGTTCTAAAGTAAACTTTTCGTACAACTGATGTATTATAATTCGTTTCGCTTCACAGCTTTTAATATGAGTTTCTGGGCGAGGCGTGTAATTTTCCGCTCTAAAGTGGAGTAAACTACAAAGGAAGAACCGATGACTCTATAATCTATAACAAATACACAGACTGCATTGCCCTTTCTGCAGGGCTACGATGGGAAAGAGCCCTAAACCAACATACGAACGATCCAAAGAAAATATCATAAATAGGCCCGATAAGGGGTCTAACTACTGCAAAAGTGTGTGAGGTATTCTTGGATTTATGATCATGACTTTTAGTAAATATTGTACGAGCCGTGTATTGGCTGATCCAGATAAGATTGGATCTAGATTATGAGTAGTGGAAATGGGAATTTATGGTAGAAATACCATCAAACGAAGCCCAATAACTTGAGCAAGTAATTATCAACTAATTAATCACCATATTACCATCGTAATTCAATTAATTGGCCACAATTTTGATCACTATTTGCAAGGGCGAATGCCCAATTGAATAAGAGAAACTTACGTTCTGAGCGTGTTCGTGATGTGCCAAACGAGTGCCGCCGAAACCAAACTGAACTTGACCAGCCCGCAAACGAACTCAAAATGAAAATGTTTGGATGACATTGCGTCGGTTTTATAGCCTCGCCACGAACGGCTGGCTATCTTAATCGGCCGGCCGAACCATTATAAACTTAAGCCCAGTCCGAGCCGATCGAAGCGCATCGCATGCGTCGCTGAACGACGTGACCGAAGCCAATCAACCGACCGGCCGTCTCAGAGAGAAACATAAAGATAGATACAGATGTAAATTTGTATGAGCGAGCATTACTTATTCTAAATGTGAGCGCAGCGCACCCAAGCCGCGATTCTCTCGGGAGATACGAAGCTCAGCCTCAGTCTCAGTCTCAGTTTCAGTTTCAACTGCCGCGCGGCTCATTAATATGCCTGACACATTTCTTCGCTGGCCCCCTAATTAGCAAATATCGAAGGAGGATATAAAAAAGAGAGAAGCAAAAGCAAGCCAAGGTGATAATTTGTAATTTGAACAGAATAAAAAATAACCCTAAATCATTTTTGGCACTTTGGCCTGCTGATGGCAATTATTACTTGGGCGTGTCGAATGTACTTTCGATATTTCACTTATCTGTTGACGCAGCGGATTAGTTCGTGAAACATTTTAGCGGGTGGTTCCAGCTAATGCGTTTGTCAGTGCAGGAGGTACAGATGGGTCGACAAACTGAGGGGCTCGCGCACACCAAAGCTGAAAGCAACTTGGCTTATCTAAGGTAAGCTTTATAAGCTCTCAGCACAGCTCCAGCTACTTTCCACTGCAGTTATTCTAATCTCTTTCTTGAAGAATATTTAAGCTCTTTCCACTCCACACTTTCTGACTGTTTTTTCACCGCAAACAGGCAGCTCTGCCATGGGAACAATTGGTCTTCATTCTGGCTACTTCAAAGTTGTGGAAGCCTAGTTTGGAATTTTTTGCTCTCTTTTTATGGTTTTCGCTAGGTTATTTATCCGACTAGTTCTGGCCTTTTTCACATGCCGAATACACAACAATTTTCCTTTCCTTTCTCACTTTCTAAAATCCGGCTTACCCTTAACTGATTGGAACTTCAAAGCCTTGCTATAAAATTGTTTGAAATATTAATTTTTGTTGCTCACCCACACACCTGCCACTTAGAACGGACGACAATAAAAAAAACCTAAGTCAATTTTTCTTGGAACCAAGTTTGTTACGTGAGTGTAGCTTTTTTCGAAATAATTATTTGTTGTATTCAAATTCATATATGGAACATTTGAAAATCGCGCGCACTTATCGATATATGTACATACGTACAATATGGCATCGATTAGTAAAACATGCGTTTGCCAACACCAAGTATTTCCTGAGAGACGTTACAAACTATACAATATATAGATGTGAAAGTTCAACAAGCGAAACGTCACCCCAGGCAGCTGCAGAAAATGTACAGATACCGAGAATGTACATATCTAGAATCTAGATCGATAGTACATAAAAAAGTACATATACGAAAAGGTTAAAAGCATGTCAGTCTAAAGCAAAGTCATTGTCATTGTAGGCTTTCCGCTGGAAACTAGGCCACCAGCCTTATGTGCCTTGCACTTACACCTACACTTACACATGAATCCATGAAATGATATCGCAATGCATTATACAATTTGTTTAACTCTTACACACAATCACTTTACCTAAGCCTAATTTTGTTTAAATTGCCCGCCCTCATTAACAATCATCGATAACAACACACATCAACAAACATCGACAGCAACACAACGAACATACCCTTTTCAAGAAAATATCGACAGCCCATAATCGAACTGAAGTACCTACAGTGCTGCCAACTCTTTGGGTCATAAAAAAGCTAAATTATCTTTGAAAAGAGCTGGAAATATCCAGACAATTTTGATGGAAGCTAAAAAAACGAAGCTCAAAAATAAAATCGTTCTTTTAACAGCATAATCTCGCAATCTATAATTCCCCAAACCCGCTATTCTACAATTTATTCCGCACTTGGATATTGTAAACGCTAGATCTAGTTAGAAAAAAGCTAAATTGGCAACACTGAGTACCTGGTCAATGCGGATTCATCGTCGTGCGATTAATATCACCAAACACAAAGAAAAGCAAAATTACAGATACGCGCTCATAAAACAACCCAAAACTGATAAAAGGTAATGCAGATCATGCAGGTAAACAGCTTATCGACTACCTGAATGCACGCAGGTGGGTGGTGCATGGACTATTTCGTCACCTCTGAAATACCAGTGCAGCAGAAGCAAAAGCAGCAGCGACCAGCAGCCCAAGAAAAGCAAGCAACACCGTGTTTAATTGATTATTCAATAAAACACCATCAACGAAGCTGCGCGTGTATGTGTGTGCGTCATCATTTGACGCAAAAAAACAACAACAAACAAACGTAAAAAGAAATTTCATTTGAACAACAATTCGTCAGCAAAAAAAGAGAATACGGGGGAATTTCGAGAAACAGATGGAAAAAAGACCGAACCATACACGGATACGCACATTTTGTACGCTCACACGCTAGAATAGTTGTCGCAGAGAAAATTTGTGTATTTTGTGGTCACGTCACGTGTGCGCAGAACTAAAATATTGCACTCGCTTTCTTCCGCAGAATTTTCGTTGGTCCGATATGGAGGCGACACTTAGCTCTGGCGGCTCGAACGCCTCCAGCGAGTGCGCCATAGAGGCGGGAACCACACGCAGCCGCTGCCTAGAGCCTGCGTTCAACAGCAACGGGCACTGCGGCAACGGCAATGGCAACGGTGCCGCCCTGCTTACCCAGGAGGTGAAGGATTTGTACAAGTAAGTTATTTTTACTCGTACCAGAGAGTTAACCGAAAGTAATGTGGTTGCTCTGCATAGATCGCTGTACACTGCCTCGAAGCAACTGGATGAGGCGAAGAAAAATGTGCAAAGCGTGGAGCAACTGTTCCAGCACGAGATCGAGGAGAAGCGCTCGCTGCTGGTAAACCTGTGCAAGCAAATCATTTTCAAGGATTACCAATCGGTGGGCAAGAAAATCCGAGAGGTGATGTGGCGACGCGGATATTATGAGTTCATAGCATTCGTCAAGAAGAACTGGCACAAGCAAGGCGTGGACGCAGCCACTGCGCAGGAGAATATGCAGAAGCTGGAGCGCTTTCTCTGCGCGGGAATTTTCAACTACAAACGTTTGTCCTCCAAGATGGAGGAGATCTATGACTTGGATCTGAAGTATCTCATCGACTTCTCCATCATAAGCGATGGCTACATCAGCGACATGATAGGGGAGCCCAAGGAGTCGACGAACTCCTGCACACAAGCCGTGGACAAGAGTCTGGAGGCTGTGTCCTTTGCCCTGGACACCATTCACTCATCGTTGCTGAGCCTGGGCGACCTTCATCGCTATTTTCTTGACTTTCGCATCGACAGTAAGCTGAGCATCAGCAAGGAACAGGTGGCCAAGTACTACCTAGAGGCATTTAAGCTTAACCCGGCCATCGGCATGGCCCAAAACCAGCTCGGCACTCTGTACTACGGTCAGAACTACGATCTGGACTCCACCTACCATTACCTGTACTCGCTGGTCTGCATCATACCCTTCGAGCTGAGCGAGAACAATCTGAATAAGCTCTTCGCCAAGCACACCGAGTACTTGGAGCAAATGGACCCAAACAAGCTCGACTTCAACATTGAGGACTTCTTCGCCCGATTCTATCTGATTGTGGATATTTTCTTCTTCGACAAAGAGGTGCCCGACTTTAATGCCCTCTGTCACTGTGTGCTGATTGATCTGCGCAAGATTCTGTGCTCGCAGCAGCTGCGCATGCCGGAGCCGAGCATTTACAAGATCATTTCGATTTTGTTCTTCTGCCTTTCCAAGCTCAAGATGATCAACTCGCCCAAGGTATACTCTTTGCATGCCTTTCTGGTGGCCGCCTGCTCGGATCTGATGGACGCCTGCATTGTCAGCATTGAGCAGACGATTCTGGCCCGCTCGGCGGACAACGAACAGTTCCAGGCGGACTACGAGAAGCGATTCGAGGAGTTTGACACGCTGGTCCGCAAGTCCCGCAACGAATACAAGAACTGGCTGGCCGCTGTTGGGGAATGCGAGCGCAAGGACAAGAAGCTGATGCCCCGACCCCACTCCCTCAAGGATTTCAGCTCCGATTCGCGCGACAGTCAGCGCTCCGTTGACGATGCAAAGACACAGGAGACGGGCGATGGCGAGAAGAACGTTGAGCCCATCTCGACTCGCTCCAGTGACGAGGCCAAGGAGAGCGATCTGAAGACGCCCCTCTCCTGCAAGAGCAAGCGGCGTGGCATGCGCCTGCGACGACGTCGTCGCAAGATGGCCCAGTCGGACGATAGCTCCTGCTACGACACTGAGAGCGACATGGACACGGACTTTTACAGCGACGAGGAGGACTATACAGACCTCAGCTCCAACTTTGACACTGACTTTAGCGACATAGATGCAGCCGACCCGGGTGAACCGTGTGCCGAGGATCCATATGAGACAGGTGAGCTCTTAATCTTCTTCGGTCGAGACCCAACTAATACTCCAATTCTCCCACAGCAGCATCTTACAGCAAGAAAGGGCGCAGGTCTGCAGGCGAATGCTGCGGCAACGATTTGATAGCCAACGATTTGGACAACGAGGATGTGGTCATTGAGGAGGAGAAAATTATATACCCCGAGCTGGAGCGTCGGCCCAATTCCCAGGAAGCAGACTCAGAAGAGTTGTTGCACAGCTTCGAAGTTCTGCAGCTGAACTTCAAGAGCGCCGAGGAGCAGGCGAAACCTGTGGAGGTAGCGATGGAGGTAGAGTGCCAAAAGCAGACTGTGGCGAATGATAGCGAAAGAGAGCCAGAACCTGAACCACCCGTAAGCCTCTCGGAGCCACCAAAGAAGCTCATCTATCGCAACAAGTACACAAAGATCAATCCGAACATTATCATTGAGTGTCTGCACAATGAGCCGACCATTAGAGCCCTGAAGATGCTCTTCGATTGGCTGCGCGTTAATCCGGAGATACTCATTGGTTGCTACCACTCGAACCCTGAGTTTGTCCACAAGATCATGAAGCTGCTGAACTACTGCAATATTGATGTCTTCACCAGAAAGGTTTACTTCGAGAGAGAGCTCTTGACCACCTCGAATGTGCGGGAGGCCCTCGTTGAGCTCTTCGATGTGCGGGCCAATGTTCCGCTGAGCGAGGACTTTACCTTCAAGAACTTCGATATCTTCCAGAGCACCCAGATGACCTTGGACTGGGAGACAATCATTAGGGAGCGCGTGACGCCACAGGAGGAGTCCATTCTGCGCATCTTCAAAATGGTCGACTTTGGCTTCTTCATTTGCAAGCAGAAAAAGTTCAACTACAGATTCTGTGTGAAGACGCGACGTTTCACCGAGAACCAGAAGAAGAAACAGCGAGAGGAGAAAAAAGGTGGTGGATCGCGGCGCCGAGAGCGTCGCACTGCTCCGAAGACCACTCGCAAGCGTAACGAGGGACGCACTCGTCGCTACTCGGACCGCAAGAACGGCATTGTCCGCAAGAGCTACACAAGCAACGAAGAGAAGGACACCGTTGAGGAGTGCCGCAAGATGCCGCGCAAGGGTTACCTACGTAATCGAAATGCCGAGAAGGCAGCTGCAGTCATCACCAGTGCCACTGGCACATCAATGGCAGGAGGCACATCCGCCTCCACCACCACAAACAGTGTCATTGAGAAACTCAATGTTCAGTCCAGCTCGGGAGCAGATGAGGAGCGCTCTGAGGCAAAGTCGAAGAAGTGCGAGCTAATGGGCAAACTCTGGCTGCAAAACGAAGTGGGGAAACTCGAGGAGGAGCTGCGAGACAGTCCTCCCCATGTGGTGATGTCCCCATTTGTTGTGGTCGATTCCAAGGCGTTGACCGAATACAATGGCATTGTCAAGTCGTTGGTGAGGACCAAGAAGTGCATTGTCCTAATACCGAATGCAGGTGAGTGCACTCGAAAGTGGAATAGTGGAGTGGTCGAAGTCATTGTGTGTTCCATTCCCCCATATCAGTACTCAACGAGTTGGACGATTTAAAAAAGCGCAGCGAGAATGTGCGCCATGTCATCCGTTGGCTGGAGCAGGAATTCAAGCATGGCAACCGTCACCTGCGCGCCCAGCGCGACAACGAAAGCCAACCGCTATCATTGCTTAAGATCTCGCGGAAGATGGGTAAGTAATGGATTAAATGTGGGCAGTGCCTATAATTTCATTTAAATTCTTTGTACAGATCGCGATGCTTCGGTCTTCCTGCAGATTGCACAGTTCTGCAATCATCTTGTGGCCAACCATGCCGATCCGCATGTCAGTGAGCTGCAGAAGAACGTTGTCACATACTTGTCGGGAGATAATCTGCATGAGAAGAATCGCCAGCAGCAGAACTTTAGCTATACCGGAATACTCGACTCCATACCGGCTCGCTATGCACAGATTCAGAGCTTCTACTCCAAGTTTAAGGCCAACAAAAAATGAAGGGGTCTGAGCGTAGCGGTATCGGTAGCGGGCGCTAAGGCGGCAAAGACAAAGGCAACTGCAGATCAGATGCACTGCAAGCAAAGGGTGCGAGCGTGTTCTCTCTCTGTACAACCACAAAATCGACATGGAGCTCCAAAGTTAACGAAATCCGTGGCCAGCGGGCCGCGGCAAAACAAAATCAGCAATCGCTGCTGCAGCCTACGTTGCGGCTGTGACCCCATTCAAAACTGAATCTGTTTACCATCAGCGGGAACAGGATCCCTGCCCCAGCCCACGCCCAAGCAGCAGCAGCAGCAGCAGCATTGCGTGGAATTTGCTTGTTGTGTTTAGACAAAACAAAAACTAAAATACCAATCAAAAAGCGTTCACTTTCGACTCAATGGCAACAATGATGACGACGACCAGGCTCAGTTAAACGGAAAAACGGCAATCAAAACACTGGAAAACCCATATAAAATGAAAAAAAAAAAAACAAACAAAAAGAGCAATATTAAAAAATTAACCTTAGAGCAGGCGAGTGCCTCAGACGGTTCTCGGACCAGAAGGAGATGATCCTGATGAGTCCAAGTGGAATGAATGAATACGATAAGGATGACAGCCGATCGGATTGTTGCTTCATATACCACACGGCATGGTCCACCAATATCTTCGTCTCAACCGATTCATTTCTGACACTTGCTTCGCCCCTCATGCAGTTGTGTTTCATTTTCAATTTCACAGTATGAGTAAATTTAAATTGCACGCTTAACACCTTCATACAGTCCGCGTGAAACTGATGTTATAATTACAGTTTACATTATAATGCAAACCCCCAACTAAAGTTCAATTTTCGAACCGGACACATTGTAATTTCCACAAACGTGGAGGCGACTCGCGTTAATATGTACACTAAATTCCACATCATTTACAATTTTCCCTAAATATTGAAAGCTTGTTAAATTTTGTTCAATTAAATAAAGCACCCAGGCGCAAATTTGTCTATGTTATTTTAATCGGCTTCTTGGGCTATTCAATTTACTGGTATTACTTATGCATGTACAAATGTACATATAATGGGGAAAAACTACCATGCTAGTGTCATATACCTATTGATATTGCTGATAAAGATCGCGATGTTTCAGTCTTCCTGCAAATTGCTGAATTCTACACTCATCTTGTGGCCAACCAAACCATTTGTTTGGATTTCTTAAATACTGAGAATAATTTGAGGCTACATTTTTCTACCGCTAAGACAGAAAAAACATTTAAACAAAAGCTGTGAGAAATGTCATATGTCTCAGGAACTATCAATTTGAAAGCGCATTGAAATCGTGCTCGTCCAGAAAGCTTTCCTACCATCTAACAGCCGTTAATAAATTGTATCTCCATTTCATTTAGCTTTAGCTTTCGTGGCATTTAAAAATGTTTGAAACAATTACCTTTACCTATTTTAAAGGCGCCAATACGCATATCTTATGGATGGATTACCCTCTTTTATGGTTTTGACAGCTATAGAATCTTTAGTATAGAAATATATATGAATGTAACAAATCTTTATTTGCAGATTCTACTACTATGAAAAGCTGTTTAAGCTGCCATGGAACAAACAGAAGAAAACTGTGTTTTTAGTACAAAGAAAATGCAAGCAAGTTTTTAAAATTTTTAATACATTTTTATTTAATGGGTTTTCTTGTTCTTTTGTTGATTTTTTGTGTGTTTTGTGTGCTGCTTTTCCTTCCAATTAAATTGAGTTTGTCACGTTTTGTGGTTTGTAGCTCGTACAAATAGCGTTCACAATAAATCGAGGGTGTATACATATAGTAATATACATATACATATATAAATATACATATACATTTATATATATATATATATATAGAATATTTTTTGATTTATAACTATTTTGTATAATTGGTTTCAAATACTTTCAGTTTAATTTGTTGTCCAGATAGTACAATCCGTTAAACGTGCTTTCAATAGAAGTTTTTACTTGGATTTATCATGGCAAAGAATTTTGTGTCTTGTTTGTGGATTTGTTTTAGCATAAGCTACATAAGTAGTACATGTTTAGGTTTAGGCGTGTTGATTTGTGTTAACCGATTATCAAGCAATTTCAACTATGAGTGTACAAACACTCGTATTATATGTTTATATATATATTTTTGTGTGTGGTGTATATTGTATAGCATAAGTTTGTTTTTGGCTTTAATCTTAGATTCATTTTGTTTATACGTAAATTGTTCATTAACAACTCCTACTACTGTTGCTATTGTTGGAGGTGTGTATGTTTGTTTTTATGTGTATAGTGTATGGATGTCTCTGAAGTCTTTATGAAATCGGTTAAAAAATAATAATATTACTACATAATTAGTTGTTTTGCAAACGACCTTAATAAAAAAAACCTGCACACGATAAAACAATAATAATCATAATAAAAGATGTAATAATAGCAGAACGTAATACGAAAATAATAAATTATAAACTTGAGATTACAACAAGACGACTGTACAGGCTTTGTGGGACGACTTAGGAACTAAACGAACTAAAAACTTCCATTCAACGCTTGCCAAAATAATAATAATATTAATTATAATTATAATAATAATAATAAAACATTTACATTTGCACAACATTCCTAAAAACCTATGCTCTAATCTCTATACATTCAGTTCCTCTCGAATTTCAACTAATTCCATTACATCCTCATCCTCGTACAACAAACATTCGGGTTTAGCTTATTGTAAATTTAACTATTTTAGATAACACCCGACACGGACTTCTCGTACGGCGTGCCCAGGGTGTCGCGTCTTCGCGGCAACGTGCCGCTGGCGGTCAGTGGAGCCGCCTCGGGGCAGCCTAGTCCCTCCAACAGCTCCACCAGTGCCGTCGTGTCCTCGACATTGTATTGTGGAGCCGGAATTCCGCCGTTGGCAGGTGGAGCAGGAGCGGGAACGGTTGTGCCCGCTTGCGCAGCTGCTGCGGCCTTCATCGACTTGGCCGTAGCCAGCGATTGGGCAGCCCGGGCATAGGCCAGGCACGTGCGACCCTCATGATCCGTGTGCTTAATGTTGGCACCGTACTGCAAAAGGAAAAAACGAACAACCTTTAGTTAGTTAATGGATTTTGTATACTCTTTCAGGTAACTTACCCAGATCAGAAGCTGTGCAATGGCCAGGTTGCCTATGGCACAGGCCAGGAGCAACGGAGTGCGCACATCCCGGGCGCTCACATTGGCGTTGGTCACCTCCGCTGGGCAATTGGCCAGTATGGAAACAATCGACTTGATGTCGGCGCGTATCACAGCCTCAATCAGCTGCTGTCCCGGGCTGGGACTTGGGTGCGCCGAAGAACCACTGCCGAGGGGTGAAAGAAATTCTTTGGCCTCGTACTTGCTGCGTATCCATCGCTCCTTCTCCTCGCGACTGGCCTGCGTCGTTGGCTTTGCCCGTTGCCTGGTGGTCGACTCCCAAACGGAGTTGGCCAGGCTGTTTCCAATGGAAAGCATAACACTGAGATGAGGTGATCTATTGGAAGACAAATATAATGTTAAGAAACAATGCAGAGAGGTTTAGATTAGATTAATAACTTACGGCCAGTCGTCCAAGCCCAGGGAGCGCACCTTGGATATGTGCGAGCCAAGATTGCGATGAATGCCCGAGCACTCGATGCACATAAGTACGCCAAGATTGAGGCTGGCCCATTCGGGATCTGCAATGAGAAAGATAAAGAAGCAAAGGGTGAGTGTCGGCACAGATGAGAGCTGTGGCTGTAGCTGGCACTTACTTGGTGCTCCACAGTCGACGCAGTGGCCATTGCCCGGCACTCGCTGACGTATGGCCAACATGGCAGCCAGATCTGTGCTGGTCGCCTGCTTGGTCTTGCTGCTCTCAATGCTTTGCAGGCTCTTGAATATCTCCTGCTCGACGGCGGCCACCCATTCGTCGCGCTCCTCCGAATTGGCTGCCTCGAAGTGCCACTGCTTGGAGTCCAACGAGACGATGTAGAACTCGTAGCCATCGTTGTCGTCGGCCTCGCTCGCCTTCACGCTGCTGCTCTTCATGCGGCGGTGACGCTTCTTCACATTCGGCGTCTGGGCCTCCAGCTTGCTGGCCGTTGCCGCCGCCTCTCCAGCAATAAAAGTCTGCGAGTTCGAGTTGGACATGGCAATGCCCTCGTCCCCGCTCGTCTGCTGTGAGCTGTTCGACTTGAGGGGCTCGGTGCCGCCGGTTGCAACACCCGAACCAGCGCCCAGCAGGGAGAGCTTCTCGCTCAGCTTGCGCTGATTGTCCTTGGCCAGTGTGAGGCAGCCAATGCCGTCGCTGAGAGTGTTTTGGGCCCTCTGACCATTGGCCAGGAGCGAGCTGGTCAGCGCACTGTTTGTGATGATGGACTTGGAGCCGCGCGGCTTCTGGCCCGGCACCTTTACTGTCACGTACTGCAGCGGAATCTCCTTGCCATGCACGTCGTCCATGTAGTCGTGCAGTGATGGGTGGTACGTGAGCCGGCCGTCGTCGCACAGCGTCACGTACTTCTTCTTCCACTCCTTGTTGAGGGACTTGCTGGAGCGCTTGTAGAGATAGCCCTGCTTGATGGGAATGGAGCGTCCGCTGCCCAGCTCGCTGCCTTTCGGCTCCTTGTCCTTGTCGGCCTTCTTCGAGGAGGAGGGGATGAACAGGTTCGAGCGTCGCCGGCTCTTACGGCTCGTCGTGGGCGTCGAGGTAGGCGTCGGCAGCTCCTTTCCGGGCGGCGGTGCCAGGTCGCGTGGATCTCGCAGCTGCACCTGCGAACAGTCGCCCTGCAATGAGCTGGCCGCTGCCGCTCCAGGATTGTATTTGGTTATGTTGTTGTTCTCGTTGGTGGCCACTGTCGTGCAGGAAGCCGAGGACGAGCTGCTCGCCTGCAGGGACCACAGCTTCTGCTCCGCCTGTGCAAAGTCCGCGCTCATTCGCAGTGGCAGCTGCTGCTGTCCCCGTTGTCCGTGCATTCCATGGTGTTGCCCATGTTGGCTGTGTGGGCCGTGCTGTCCGTTGGTGGGCGCCTGGTAAGGCGCCAGTCCGAGGCGACTTCCTTGTGGCGTTGTTGGCCTGGGCGGCTGCACTGACGGCGGCAGCGGCAGACGCTGCGACAGAATCTTCTGGCAGGCTGTGCGGAACGAGGGAATGTTTATTTCTGTAGGAGACTCTTCTGTGTGGAAGTCACTTACCGTCTTGAAAGACGCGCTCCACGTTCAGGCCGTATGTAGCGCAGGTCTCGTAGTAGGAGCAGCGTTTCAGGTCGCTGGCCAACTTTCTGGCGCGGGTGTCGTCAATCACACGCGGATTGCGATCACTGATGGAGTCTGCAAAGGTGGGAAAGACAGGCAGGGCATAAGTAGGGAAGCCCCAGTAATGAGAGAGAATCGACTTACCTTGCGTCCCCACCAATATCATGGGTATGTCCTGTCCGTTCCGAAAATGCGCCATTTTCGTGTAGTAATTGTAGACTGTATTGAAGCTGCCCTCGTTCTCCAGGCTGAACACAAAGATTACCGCATCCACCCAGCCAGCGAACTGTAAGGAGAATGTCCAAGGGAAATGTTTGCATGAGAAAGGGTTTATGGCCAGGTATAGCTGGAATCTGACAACAAAAGGAGAGAGTGAGCGCTGCGAAAACAACGCTTTGGGACGCTGCGAGTCCTTGACTTTGCGGGCTTCTCGGGGGAGCCAGAGCGAGGAGTAAACAAAGTGCGGCGTCTGGCGGAAGCGCGCAAAACAATGGACCCATAACCATAACCACCATAACCAGGCGGGCTGCTAACCTCTCGGCGGGTCTCCTTTTCTTATAGGCCTGAGACTCGGTCTGTGAGGAGTCTCGGGCTCTGGCTCTGGCTGTGCAGGACTCAACACACACACTTGAAAAAGTCGCTAATGAAGCACTTGAATGCCCTGCTCCTGCTCCTCCTCCTGCCTTCTCTGCTGTTCCTCTCGCCAGACGTGTGTTAAACTTTTTAATGATTTTCGTATGCCTCTCCACGCACACACACAAAAACAGGCACACACACTCTCGCACACAATCGTACTGTCGGAGTTTCGAAGGATAATGAACTTTTATGCAGCATGTAAACAGTTCTGACTGCCTCTGCCTCTGTTTCTGTTTCTGTTTCTGTTTCTGCTTCTGTTTTTTGGTTCTACTTCTCCTTCTGTTTCTGCGCAGGATTCCCCGTTACCAGCCAAAGGAAACGTTTTTTCCTATTGATTGACTGGCCTTCGATTCAATTCAATTCAATTCGAAACGGATCAATTAATTATGCATTAAAAGCTTTTCACCTGGCCACCGAACCCAGCCTTAGTATGCGGATGAATAATTTATGTAACTCTGTTCAACTCCATTCGGGTCCTGTCCGTTTCCTTGTCGTTGTCACAGGAGGAGCAATCGGAAAAAAGCCGCCCGCACGCGACGCCAGTCGACAAACAACTGGCTTCGAGAACGTCCTGGCAACGACGAGGACAACGGCGGCGTCCTCGTTGCTTTGTGCATTGTATGGTGGGTGGTTGGGTTGTTCGATGCTTGCTACAATGGTTGGATGGTGGGAGGTTGTCTGCCTCCTGCCCCGCCGCTGGCGTCTCGCCATCATGGCCACTTTTTATGATTTGTTGTGAAAATGTATGCAGAGGAAACAGGAAAGCAAAAAAACGAAGCAGCAGCAGCAGCAAGATGCAGGGATGTAGAGGAAGAGGAATACAACAGTTTGCTGGATAACGGAGAGCGGGAGGAGAAACGACGAAATGCTGACTCTCGCACATATACTCGATACAATGCAAGGCTGTATCTGTCTGTATCTGCATATGTGTGGAAGAATGCATACTGCATATGTGCGTATGTATGCGGATGCCTGTTTGGCTGGACGTATGCTGATGAAGGAGAAAGCAAAACAAGAGGAAGTAACACAGTGCGGTTCACAGATTTGGGACCACTTTGAATTTGTGAACTTCTCATGGGTAACAATTTTTTACTGCATAGAAACATACTGAAACGCATAGCAAACCTATTTTGCTACTCACAACTCCCATTTCTTCGTACAATTTGAAACCCATCCGCTGCCACCAACACTACCTCGAGTGTATCCCCCCATTCGCATCCATTCGCAATAAGGAATCGACAACTGCTAGTCGCGTGCAATATTGTTGTCGCTGTGTCGTCAAGACACACGAGACGATGTCGTGTCTCGCAGTGGTATAAGCATGGTGGTGTATGGTAATGATATCCCTATGCGCTGGAGCAAACAACAAAAAACAAAAACAACTACAAAAGCGAGCCGCCCGAGTGGCGACGCGTCGCTCATGGAATGAATGATTTCATCCAAAGTTCTGCCACTGTAACTGTTACTGCGCGAGGGTGGGCTTTTGGGTTGGCTGCGGCTACTCGTAGCTGGTGTAACTTTTGCCAACTCTCTCTGTCAAAAATGAGGGTTATTTGCTCTATGAAATATGAAAAATACGTTTATTATGTTCCATAAAGATGTGAATGACACGGGTTAGTCAAGGAAAGTGAAATAATATCAGGGGGCTGTGCAGGGAATGGCGAAAAGTGGACGATTTTGTGAATTGGAAGAAATTACTAATGTAGCAACGTTTTGGGCGGGGGTTTGGCCTGATGTACCGCCATGGGGCGGTTTTGCGGGAGAGGCTGCAGTGTGTGCGCTCAAGTGAGAGAGTTGATTGACAGTTTTGCATGCAGTGAGCGGTAACGATTATGCAATATGCATGAGGAGAAAGCTGCAACAGTGTGCAATGAAGCGATAAAAATGGTTAACAAAAAATATGATTCATTCATTACCAGCGCATGTCCAACTGTAGCTATTTTCAACTCTAAACATCATGTCAAACCGTTTATACTCTCAAACTGTGAAGCGTTTCATACTGTAACCTTTCCGAGTTGACAAGTTTGGAAGTCATAACCCGAAGCAAGCACAATTTCATGTGACGTTCAACCTGTAGCTGTTCTCAAACTGTACCATACTATAATTTATAGGCAGCTGCTTCAAAACTTTGAATACCGTTGCCTTACTTTGAAAATATCAGCTAAAGCATTTTTTTAGAAATGGTTTCCCTATGATTCTAAAACTGTTAAGCTGAAACCAGTTACTCGCAAACCTGCCACTCTTGGAACCGCAACTCTCACTGTGCCTCTGTCTAGCTTCGATTACTCTAAAATCGTACATCCCAAAACGTTTCCCTTTCCCGTTAAAGACCTAATCCTTTGTTGTGCTTCGATCAACGATAATTTAGGTCAATCATCTGCTTGACTTGCAACAAAAAATTGCAAACTTCTAATTAAACAAAATACAATTGGGAAATTTGAAATATGAAATTTGAATTAAAATTGCAAACAACGGGAGACGGAAGACAGCATTTAGAGAGAAAGAGACAGAGACTAGACAGGGATAGAGCGAAAGTATTATAGGGATATAGTTGGGATTTCGAGGGTCGCGTGTCTGGCACATTTTTTATATGTAAGCAACCCCCTATCCCCACCCCCCTGGGTGTAAATAGAACCGCAAATAATAAAAAAAGAAAGAAAGAAAAGCGAAAGCAGCTTACAATTTATAATCCTCACTTTCACCCTTTAAGCCTCAGGCACGGGATGTCGCCCAGGGGGTAGGGAATAAATCAGAGGCGGGGATCAGAAAATGCAATTGCAAAAATGTAAATTTGGCGAACCGAGAATCGCGAATCCTTACACGCTGTACAATACAATATGCACTCTGGTGAAGCATATCAAAGCCGTGTGCCGAACAACAAAAGCTCCTTGAGGCCTGGCCTCGAGGGAATCAACGAGTCATGGCCCCCGTTGAAAGGTACATAACCATAAATAGCCCGTGGTTAAGTTGCCTTTAATTATGCCAGCTACCCAGTCAGTCTCCAACCTCTTCCACACAGTAGAATTTATATTGACAAAGACCAATTCAATTGCATTCGGTTCGAGACCAGATAAACTTTGATTGTCGAATGCAGTCAGAGGGGGTTGGTTAGCTGGTTGGTTGGCCGCTTGGTCCCAAGGTAAGCTCGGGGGTTGACAATCAGCCGAGTGCTCGCCATTGTGTGCCACACACTGCGCAACCTTTAACCTTTGTCCAGGCCATGCCAAGTATTGGCGCTCTGCCAAGTGATGATGATGTTGTCTCTGCTGCATTTGCTGCTGCACATCACGTCCCGACCTGTCATAATGGTCAACAGCAGCAGCAGCTATGGGAAGAAATTGTGTCAGGAAAAAAACGCTTATCAAAATTGCGACAAAGTTTTGGCTCCCCCCTTGAGCCTGACTGCTGCCAAAGGTCGGAGTTCGATTGAGAGAGTGACTCATGCCCCAGCAGTCGGTGAAGTTAAACTTCTTAGCCAGCGAAGTGAAGTGAACTACCGAAAAGTACTGGCAGCGAAAACTTGGATAATTGCCAGCGAAGACTGTGAAAATGAAACAAAAAGTTATACAAAAGAATGACTGCAATCCTTGATACACAAAAGAACCAAAGAAACTAACCAGCCGAGAGCTGTGCTCGGGCAATTCAATCAAATAATATTTCCAACTAAACTTTGTTCCCATCCGAGGCCCACGCAAACCTGCCAGCAATCGAATAACAACCCCAGAAGTTTGCCCCGTTGATCCCACGTTGACCTCAATTCAAATATTTACAAGATGATAAGGGGAAAATTTATTTGTCTGCAGCAGGAAAAACTTTCTTGCCAGCAAAGTGCCTTCCCCCGGGAACCACTTCCTACTTCCCTCCCAGGCAATACATCATTTTTACATTCCTATGAATTTTTTATGCCTAAAAAAAAAGCCAGAAATAACCCCCAAATACGTAAACGAGACTTACCTGCATTTCTGGAGCTCCACCCTCGTCGCGTATGAGCAGCAAGTAGCTCTGGCCATCGATGAAGACCTCCTTCTTGAAGCGACCGCCCTCGGGCGATTCCTCCTGCATGTAGGAGCCGGTGAGGTAGCGATGTACCAGCGCCGACTTCCCAGAGTTCAGCGAACCGACGATTCCCAGCCTCAGATCTGGCACTGATCTCGAGATCGTCCATTCCTGGCTATTTACAAATGAATCTGTAACAAGCAAAAAGAATCAAATTATCATTAGCAAAGAGCGTTCCACGTTGTTTCAGTTTCAGTTTTAGTTGAGTGAGAAAAAACAAGTTAGCGGCGCGTAATTAGCGATCTCAGAGAACCCGTTTGCTCTCCAGAAAAAATCCTTTTGACCTACATGTGGCCCGGCCAAAAGTTCTCGTCGCTCCCTTCTCTCTCAAGAACCCAAGCCCATTCTATCCTCCCATCATTAGCCATTGCTTCTTATGCAAACCCTGAGCACTGGTATCTACTCGTACATCATCCTTCGGTCCCATTTCATTGCCGCTTGCTTGATTGACAACATAAATGTGAAATAAATGGGTGCTGGCTGTGCTGCGGAGCTTCCTTTATATTTTTCGGCAATTGTCGGCTGACGTCCCTCGACGTGTGCAAACTTTTAAATTGTCAGTTTGCCTGAACACTTTTCTGATTTAAATTAGCTCATTGTCAAGTCCCAGACCCAGTACCCAGTACCCAGTCTCAGTCCCAGTCAGTCACTCAATCAGACTTAAGATCTTTTAGGTCACAGTCACTGTGTCAGCTGTGCTTTTCCTTCTGTGTTTCAAGGTTAAAGCTTTTGCTGTTGCCATGGAATATGGTCCATAAATGGCTAGCACCTTAAGAGGAGAACTCGATATCTATGTGATCAGAGAAACAGCTGCTTCAGAGGCTACTCCAGCAGACATGTGTAAGCCGGGGCAAAGGGAATGCCCCTAAAATTGATGCTGCACTTCACTCCCTAGTGTAACAATCTGTTAAGCACCGAAATGAATGCACCATCAAAGTGCCAAAATAAAGCTCTTCCCAAGCCAACGAGAACCCAACCCGAGCCATTAGATTTCCAAGTGCCTGCGATCAATTTCAAAAAGGGGTTTCAACCAGGGGGCAGGATATTTTGAAGGGTAGAAGGAGTGACAATGCCTCTGACCAGTTGACCATTTGAGTAGTTTTTGCCTTGCCTTGCGATGATTTACTGCACCCAAGCAGGGCAGGAATATGTGAAAATTGCTCTATTATGAGTTGTTAAGAGTTGCTTAAGTAAACACTGAGCCGGGAAGATGGACATCGACAGCGACAGCGACAGCGACATGGCCATAGACATGGACATGGATACGTTTCTTGTCAGCGTCTCAAGGGGTTGTCACGCACGGCAGGAACTTGTTTCCAGGCCGCTTGTTAATCGACTGAAAGTACTGAAAATACAAGTTCAACTGGTTTGCACTCTTACCTCTGGACCTCTGCTGACCAGAGCGCAAAATTACAAATTAAAACGAAATAAATATGCCTTTGTTATGTTTATATAATACTGGAAATACCGAAATAAATCCGAGAAAAGGAGCACAATTCAATTGTGTGTTTGAAATTGAAAATGATATGCAGAGAGGAGCAAGGAAAAAAAAATTAGCGCGGTTTTGCAATTTGCATGCCCCTTCCAGAAGGGCTTTGGTAAATGGGAATGGATTTCAGATCAAACATGGCGCAGCAACTGCAACTGCAACTGGTTCCTCCGTTCTGGTTGCTCGAATTGTAACAAATTGTGTAGATTGGTGTCTTGGCACAATATCCCAGCTAATTAATGGCTCGCCATTAGCCCAAAGGCGCTTAAAGTTACAAGCCAGCTACAAATGCATCTTTAAGTTTGACTAATGATGCCAAATGTCTGATGGCAATGGGATCGGTGTTGGGATCTGAATCGGGATAGCGATCGGCTTATGTGTGAAGTTCAAACCGCCAGTCGCAGTGCCAGTTACAGCCCTGGAGCGAGGCACAACCCCTTTTTTCCAGCGCTGTAACCATCTCTCGGTGGCAGGGTGGAAGAGGGGGGTAGGGGCATCTTTATCTCTCTGGGATCGTAACTCAAACACATGTCAAATGTCGCCTCCGTTGTCAAAATTCCCAACATAATTACGTATGCAAACTAGCTATGACCCGAAAATGTCTTTCGATTTCTAAATATTTAATTTCTCGAGCATTTCTTGTTCCTGGCTCTCTGGATCTAGGGAGAAAGTCTGTGTCCGTGTTTGTTGTTCGTAGAAGGGGTTCGTGTTGGGATTGTTTTTTACTGTTTGTTTGTATTTATACTCTTTTTACCATTGAGGGGCGATAAGAAGTCTGCCCATCCCATTACAGTCTGTTCTTCCTTTCTCCGTGTCCCGGATTTACAGCTCTTGATGTGGGTTAAGCATTTTAATTAGCGAACAATATGAAAATTTCATTTTCCTTCTTTGGAAACATGTTTTCTTAGTAGCCAGGTTGACCCGGCGAACCCCCGAACTTCAAGATACATAGCTACAAAGATAGATAGCTTAGTTTTATGATGACTGACAGCAGCTGTAACCGAAGCAAACCGATGCATAACCAGGCTGAGTTTTATCACCTTGAAGCGTGCCAGAAGCCTATGGCACTTGGTGTATTATACTTGACCAGGAACAGGCGCCAAGAATTCCCATAAAATGTTTATGGCCATTTGGTTGTTACGGAAGCTGCTACAAGAAGCGTTTAGAACTGTCATCGCTGCAACATTAACGACTCCTCTTCTTTACTCAGCAAATGCTACAGCTAAAGAGTTTTTTAATCTCATAAAATACAATAATTGAAAGAGAAATATATATATAAAAAACTGGCATAATAAAATAGACAAGCTGCAACAGAGAGACAAACTCTGAGTTCCGATTACGGCAGACCCCGAACCGCAATTAGATCCCGTCCCGTTGGCATTCTCCATAGAAATTTTTTAATTATTCCTCGCACTGTTTGGACACTTTTGGTATCCCTAGCAATGGTCAAATAATGTGATTTTAATAAGCCAAAACCAGCCATAATGGAATATTATTCCATTTGCCGCGCCTTTCATTGAATTAGGAATAGCCTGAATAAATCGAATGCATGGAGAAAGAAAGATCTCTGGCATAAATCATCACATGAGTTGCATAAAACATATTTGCATTGGCCCACGAAAAACCTACGAAAATATTTAGGTAGGAAAAGGCTGGCTGTGTCGACAGAGTGTCCAAGAGTCCACAAGGCAAAGGAGAGAGGGAAAGATCTGGCCATAAATCAGGCCCGTGTTCGGCCATGAGCCTCGGTGTGTTGGCGTTTGGTTCCTTCCACCTTTCTTCCTTCGTTCGTTCTTATGCACATTTCCTATGTAGGACAACTGCACATCTGCCCCAAAATCTGATTTACTTTCTCTTTGTTTCGCCCTGCCGTTTGTGTTTGTCCAGAGATCGGTGAAAGAAGATCACAGAAACTGGTGGCAAAGTTGCAAGCAGAAACGAGAGAGAGAGAGAGAGAGAGAGAGAAGGCATTTTCCTCCTCATCCTCATCGTCTCAACAAAGGCAAAGAAAATTAGCAAAGCCCACAAATAAAACGAAGAAAAAAAAAAGGGCGATCGCACAAACAAGATTAGTAGAGAGGAGTAGGCGAAAGAGAATGAGAAGGGGAATGAGAATAGCTCTAAGAACGAGAATGTGGAGGATGTCGGAGACAGGAAAAAGGTAACTAAAATAAGGAATAAATAAGGTAAAAGATTCTCGATGGCCATGGCAATGCTGTTAAATTATTTACAGAACTGTTAAGATATTTCGAGACTACAAAATGTAACAATTATGGTAAAAGTCTCACAGATAAGTCATAAAGCTTATTCCATGCCTATTTCTAAACAGTTACATTTGGCGATTAATTACGGCGCAAAACAATAAGCTGAACGTAGCCCACCTTAGGCAACGCTCCTCCAACTGTTATCCCCCGCGGGCCACGACAGAGACGAGTAGATAGAAAAGTTCTGCACGAATGGTTGCGACACTTCAAGGTCCGAGCTGGGGCTGGGGCATCATCAGCGTCACGCAATGTGATAGGAGGAATGGGTGTGTTTTGGTTACGTGGATGGCTACAGAAGTACGTAGGGTACATAGCGGAATGTGCCTGCTTCTGACAAATAGATTCGACTCGTGTGTCACGTGCAGGCGGTACTCGAATGTAGATTCCGGTCCTGAGGAATCCACATGACTTCATCGCCCGAAAATCCAACGGAACAGTCGAAATTGACACACAAATTCACGCATCATTAGCAAGCGCGCAAACAAACAAATAAACAGATGGGAACGAATAATCATACAAGCGGAATGGGACTCTGACTCGGGGGCGATCTTGTACAGCAGAAGACACATGTTGGAATTTAATAAATTGGATCCAAAGGCGGTCGGCTGATGTGAGAATTGAATCAATTTGCTGTCCCAACAACACTCAGTTGAAGGTCAATCCACCAGAAAGAGGATGAAGGATGGAAGATGAAACGCCTGCAGGCACTCGAGAGACCACGCCCCGTGCAATACAAGGGGTTAAAATTAAAAGACTTTCCGATCTCGTTCTACCCCTGAAGATCCCAGTCATTGGCTACAAAGATTCGTGTGCTCAGGTAATAAAGCATCTTTATGCCGCAGATCTTCAATGTCATACTCCATTTTTATTCAGCAAGAAACTTGTTCCTCACTTCTACTCCAATACGTAGACATACTCGTACTCCAATCTACATAGACGATTTCTTTTTTTATTTTATTTTGAGTGCCATTTATCAGTTTTTGGGGCCAAATTGAATTTTTGTTGTGTGTCGAAACTCAGGCACACAGGAAAACGTAAAAAGTTGCAAAACACGCGGCAGTAAAGGCCACAAAAGTAAATAAAGAAACAAATCGTTCTATGATTCCTTATCTTTCCTAGGTGTAAGCCCCACAACAGCCATATAGGGGTACACATAAACTTGGACTCTTATCGCGAGTGTAAAGTCAATTTCCTCTATGGCATATGTCTTGGTATTTGAGCCATTAGCAAAGTGCATTCAGAAGTCATTCAAGTAAATGGATCTTATGATATAATGATAATAATATACAAATTGTTGTAGAGTAGAAATATTCCCTCAAGTTCGTGTTCCGGTGGGTTCTCGGTGGGTTGGTCCTAAGATCCCAAGAACACAATCTAA